ACAACTCTCAGCACCTTTAACAAACCACAGTTCCCAGGATTCTTTGGGTGGAAACCATGACCATTTAAAGTGGTGTAATACTGTATTGTGCAGGTGGGGCCCTAATCACCTGGGTGATTCCACCAATCCGGGCTCACGCAATGCAAGGGAAGATATAACCGTGTGACCGTTGCCTATGAAAAGTGAAAATAGGAACAGCCTATTGCAAAATGTCCAAGCAGCTCGGCCAGAAACGTTGAAAAGGGAGATGGTTTTTGACACTTATGAAAAGGATTGTGAAAAGCTGTGCCGAGTTTTCTTTTCAGCCTTATGTAAGAATATAATAAGCAGGTTTGCAGTGACTTTCCAAAATACAATAGGCACCTAAGCTTTCCAAATATATAACCAGCCAGTGAACGCTGTAAAATATTTGTATAGCTGATTAGCACTAAGTAGAAGAGACACCTACTTTAAAGTATCGCCATGTAAGCGAACAAAGGATATTGGGGGCGGACAGAGAGAGAGAGTCCTTTTGTATTTCTCCTGCTCTCCAACCCTTGATAGTAAACTTCCAAGGCATTAAAGGTAGACTAAACAAGAGGCAGTAACAATAGGTTTGCTTCTCCTGGTTTTTAACATGCGAATGCTTAAATTGCAAATCCCTGAACACCATTCTAATTAATAAACAAACTCAATGTGGAATCTATCTTCTTTCATCTGAATCAATAAACAGAGAAGTCATGAGAAAGGGACCTTTTCCCTTCAGGGAGCCTTTTCTTGTTAATGTTGACTCAGATTGTTAGTGCTTACACTTGTCCTTGTCCCATTCTACTTCCTTTTTAACCACCCAACTTCATCTCTGAAGATCTTTGCAAAGTGGCTCTTCATGCATGACTCTCATATTTAGTTATACCAGTAATGAATATTAGCTGCCAAAGTAAGCTTTCTAAATTGAAGTAACATTTAATTGCTACACCAGACATTGAAAGATGGATGTCAAATGTCACCTTAATTCATGTCAAAGCATTTGTTGCAATGTGTATTTGAAAGATATGCTTTGAAGAGACAGCCGAATCTCATCATTTCTGAAAATGTGAGTACAGTACTACCTGCTGTCATGAGCAACGACCAAACTTGGCCATAGATGAGTTTGGCCTTTGGTTCTCAAACAGCAACCCCTTATGCTATGTAGCAAAGCATGAGGGGTGGGGGATTTCAAAAGATGTTTACGATTTAAAAATAAAATGATGTATTTTCTCATTTTTACCCTGCTTTTTACAAAAACAAAAAATCACCAGGCTGCTTATAAGTGCCATATTTTTCCGTCTATAAGATGCCCCCTATTTTTGAGGACTCACAATTTAAGAAAATGGGGAAAAATCTATCCATGTATAAGACGCTCCCAAATTTTGGACATTATTTTTTAGGAAAAAGCCTAGTCTTATTCATGGAAAAATACGGTAATTGCCACAAGAAACCTAACGTCAAGAATAAAATAGAAGCAATAAAAAAGCAATAAAACAGTTCAGCTTTAAAGACAACAGACACAGAAATCAATTCTTAAAAGGCTTCTGGGGTAGAAGAATAAACATTTTCAAAACACCCTTAAAAGCACACCATGAGGAGGCTTGGCAGGTTTTCCCTGGAAGGGAATTATACAATCCTGGCTATGTTTAAAAAAGTGGGGCTTAATTTTGATGCTTACCCAATGAGTCTAGAGTTTAAAAAGAAACCAGAGGCTGAGATGATGAACTTACCGTATTTTTCGGACTATTGGACGCACCGGTCCATAGGACGCACCTAGATTTGGGGGGGGGAAATAAAGGCAAAAAAAATTTATTCCCCCCCCCCCCGCCAGGCGCGGGGCTGGGGCGGGGAAGCCCGAGCTTCCCCCTCCCCCAGAACGGGACCCAGAGCCATGCCGAAGCTGCGCGCAGCTTTGGCATCGCTCTGGGAGCTTGCGGGGCTGGGGGAGGAGGAAGCCTTCCGCCAGCCTCCAAACCATGTCGGGAGACAGCGGGATGGCGCGCTGCGCCTCTCCCGCTGTCCCCCAGTTTGCGGGGCTGGGCCAGCCTTCTAACCAAGTCGGGGACAGCGGGAAGGGCGCTGCGCCCCTGCCGCTGTCTCCCGAGTTTGCGGGGCTGGCGACGGGGAGGAGCAGGCTTCTCCCCCCGCCAGCCTTCTAGACAAGTCGGGGGACAGCGGCAAAGGCGCGCTGCGCCTCTCCCGCTGTCCCCCGAGTTTGCGGGGCTGGCGACGGGGAGGAGCAGGCTTCTCCCCCCGCCAGCCTTCTAGCCAAGTCGGGGGACAGCGGGAAAGGCGCGCTGCGCCTCTCCCGCTGTCCCCCGAGTTTGCGGGGCTGGCAACGGGGAGGAGCAGGCTTCTCCCCCCGCCAGCCTTCTAGCCAAGTCGGGGGACAGCGGGAAGGGCGCGCTGCGCCTCTCCCGCTGTCCCCCCGAGCTTGTGGGGCTGGCGGTGGGGCTCTCCTGAAGCCTGGAGGTTGTGGGGCTGGTGGGGGGGAGAAGCAGGCTTGCTTCTCCCACCCCCAGCCTCCAGATCAGGTCGGGGAATAGCGGGATGGCGGAGCAGGGTTGCTTCTCCCGCCCCCAGCCTCCAGTTCAGGTCGGGGAATAGCGGGATGGCGGAGCGCCGCCATCCCGCTATTCCACGACCTGATCTGGAGGTTGTGGGGCTGGGGGGGGAGAAGCAGGCTTGCTTCTCCCACCCCCAGCCTCCAGATCAGGTCGGGGAATAGCGGGATGGCGGAGCGCCGCCATCCCGCTATTTCCCGACCTGATCTGGAGGTTGTGGGGCTGGGGGGGGGAGAAGCAGGCTTGCTTCTCCCCCCGCCAGCCTCCAGATCAGGTCGGGGAATAGCGGGGTGGCGGCTCTGCGCCTCCCCGCTGTCCCCAGCTTTTGGGTGCAGGCTGCTGCCCGCAAGCCTTGCGAGCCCGCGGGACATCCCGCCGGGCTTGCAAGACTTGGGATAGCTTCCTGAAGCCTGGAGAGCGAGAGGGGTCGGTGCGCACGGACCCCTCTCGCTCTCCAGGCTTCAGCAAAAGCCTGCATTCGCACCATAGGACGCACACACATTTCCCCTTCATTTTTGGAGGGGGAAAAATGCGTCCTATAGTGCGAAAAATACGGTACAACCTGGGTAGATTTTAGGCAACAGGTTCACATAGAATCATAGAATTGTAGAGGTGGAAGGAAGGGACAATGAGGGCCATCAAGTCCCATTCCTTGTAATCCAGGAATCAACTAAATCATGTGGTGTGCAAGTATGAGATACAGAGAGAGTAGATAGATAAACACACACTCAAGACCACTGCACATCTCAACTAGGCCGTTTAAATCCCTGCACATTGCTAAAATTTTAAAGCAATCAGCAGGCTGTATGTTTGAGTATTTTTGAAAGGAATCTCATGTCTACTATTTCCCATGCTAATTTTGATTCAACTTGTCTACTAAAACCAAGTATATTCAGTTTTCCCCCAGTTGACAAGGGGGAGAGCCATATAAACATCAATGCAAAACAATTCCAGTTTTAAATGAGATTTGAGTTCATAATACCATGGACAGTAGCTCAGGCACTAATAGAAACCTGTGGTTTGTTTAAAATAAAAAAGGTAGCTTGACATTTTTGCTTTTAATGAGAGGTCATGCAGATTCTTTTTTCACCTATTTGTGTGTTCCCTAAAACCATTTCCAATGACAGCATGAATCTAGAAACTCTGGAATTTTGCAGAGGGCCAGAATTCTTTTTGCTAAGAAAGTACGACTCCCTTCACACAGTTGATTTTGTAAAAACCAGCCAGGTCAAACCTGCAAACGTTTCCTCATTGAAACTAACCCCCTGGCATGCCTGCGTTTGCATGGGTGCAAGCAATCAGGGGATCTGCTCTGAATGTTGTAGACAGAGCTGCAGCCTGTATTAAAACACCAATGAGCTAGGTCACCGTTAACTTTCTTCTGCATCTCACCTATGTAGCTATTTGTCCTTAGATTATGTAGAATAATGTGGAGGGAAAGGCTGAGGATTGCACAGCTCTTCCATATTGGTCTTCCAGAAGCTCTCCCCCTAAATGAAAAAGCGAGACACTATGGTTGGATATTGTGTTTACATATAGCAGAACTCATCAATATCCACAAAATTGCCATCTGGCGCCGTGTTCAGATTAAGGTATCCATTGGTAAACTGAGGAGAGAATCCACTAGAGGACTGAAAGAAAGCCACAACATAAAATGTTCTTCTACAACGTCCATGCTGTTCTTTTATGCTCCTCAAGAAGGCAGATTCAACATGTCCAAAGAAGGGTTTGCAGGGACAAGGTAATGGGACTGTGAAAGAGAAACATGGTTGAAAGTGCGAATGAAGGGTCATAAACTAGGAGAGCAGCACATGCACGCTGCACATAGGGAGCAGAGATCAAATGTGGAAATGAGCTAAAGGGTGCAGAATATATTGCCTTTTTTGGCTCTTGAAAGCTTAGGACTCCAGAGGTCTTCTATATTCCGTGTGTGCCTGCCCAAAACCTGATGATATCACCAGATACATTCCTTCAAGTCGTTCCGCTTTGTGAAGTCAGATGGGCAATAACTAGAGGGAGAGGCACAGTGTACGCGGAACGCCTTCCCCAGGGGAGGTGTGGCTGATGCCAAACCTGATGTCTTCTCAGCACTAGGCAAAGACCTTTTTATTTGACTGGGCTTTCCATGACGCACCCTGACGCATACTTAAAATGGTGCTTTTTCTGATTCTATGGAATTTATTTCTCTGCTATGTTTCTGTTATTCAACTGGTTTCTCTTATAGTTGACAGTGTTTTTATTGCTTTCATGCCAAGCTCTTATGCTGAGAGTTCTGTAAACTGAAGAGCGGCATGTAAATGTTTAAAATGAATTTAATAAATACTTATTATCGGTGTCCTTATTCTTAAGAAGGGCTGTTTTGCAGCTTACTGGAAAGTCCTGAGCAGTAAAGACACAAATGAGTCACACATCTCTTGCTTGTGCTTCCAGGTTAATACGGGAAGAAATCGTGCATCGTATTTGCAGGCAGATTCACTGGAGAGTGATCCCGGGCGCCATTTGAGATTTCATTGAGTGACAGGTAAAAGGCTTATTAAAGATTAAAGATCTGCTGTTAGATCTATTCAAATAAAAATGGGCAGAGCACTCTTACCGGATCAGGGAAGCTGCTGGGGCAGATGAACTACTAAATCCAAAGCCCTGCTAGACTCAGAACTGGAGGGAGCAGTTCCCACCCCCATTTCCCTGTTTTGGGACATAATATTCCCCTTCCACTTTGGTCACAACAGGATGGAAAATCAACATGCCAGTGCTAGTACTACCCCTGCCCCCAAGTGTGTGGTTGTGTCAGGATCCTGATCTGTACCACCCTGGCATGGCACCCACTTTTTTCATTGGCAGGGGTAACCCAGAGGTGTCTCTCCCCCCCCCCCCCCCGTGCTGGCTGGGAAAGGGATTCCAAGGGCAGATTTCCCTCTTTGAGGCCAGACTTTTTCTCCTGCAGCCTCTGAGACAATAGGCTTATGCCCTAAATTGCAAAAGGAAGAGAATGCCAGTGTGAGGGAACAAATGCTGTAGCTGGTGCCATCATGCCTTATGAGCAACAGTGTACATTTCAATGAAACACAGCGAAAAGGAAATAAAATATAATAGAATACAATTTAAGAGAATGGTGCCAGGGGTGTTTTAAAATACCTCCATAAGAATGATCACAAACAGTTTGTGCCTTTGATATGAATATCTGGCATGAGGACTACATAACCCAGCATTGGTTGCCAGTGTGGTGCCTCCTGAACGTTATTGCCCCAACTCCCATCTTCCCTGACTGGCTGGGGCTGATGGGAGTCAGAGACCAGTATGTTGCAGAACCAGTGAAATGGCTAGAAACAGAGGCGCTTCCGAAGAATGGAAGGCAGAACATAGGAAGGTGCCTTACACTGAGTGTCTCTCCAGCATTTCAGACAGGGGCTTCTCCCATCCCTACCTGGAGATACTGGCAATTGAACTTAGGAATTTCTGCATGCATTTCAAGAGGGGACATGAAGGGTTTCAGACAGGGGACATCCCCAGTCCTACCCAAAGAGGCTGGATATTGAACATGGGACTCTCTGCATATTTATCAGGAGTTCTGCTCCTTCACTTTGGTCCTTCTCCTCTCCTTCAGAGGAGACTGACAACAGCAACAGGGACATGCTGAGGAGGGCAGTGGGAAGCCCCCTTCACCAGCCTCCCTGGTTAGTGCTGTTCCTCCTGGTATGGACGACACAGCAGAAATCTGTATGTGCTTACACATAGAGAGAAGCAAACGGTACTTTCCGTGGTAAATTCCTTCTCTGTGTAACTAGAAATATACAGCAAATTAATTGTCACAAAGAGCATCAGGGAATATTCAAAAATCACACCACATACTTTATCAGCACCCAAATAGCTATCATTAGAGTGTCTTTTCAGGGCATTGATCTGCATGTGATAGAATGTTATATGAAAGCAAAAAACGGGAACACACAGAGCGCATTGTAAAAAAGCAAGCTTTGCTGAAGAAAGGAAGGAGGGGGAAGGAAATGTTATGTAATTCAGGCCTCAAGCTACAAACCATAGCAAAAATCAGGCAAGGAACTGACTTGCGTGCATAATAATACTCTAGCAGCGTACCGACCGGAGAAATTATGATCATTCGTGAAGGAAATGTAGAGCACTGCGTCAAGGCATTATATGTGAATACAAAGGATCCATCACTTTTAAAAGCTTATTCCTTTAGGCATGGTGTGCTTCTTATTTAAATGCTGCTGTATAAAGCATTTCTACATATGTGCTTCAAAACTCTATTAGATAAAACCCACCCATCCAGCTGCTGGTGGTCTAGCTTTCCAGTAGGTGCACCCAAGGGCTTCCTGGAAAAGTCCCCTTCTCCCCCCGCCCCACCCCAATGGAACACATCTTTTCCTCACTATTAAATGCACTGTTGTTTTGTTTTTAAAAAACGTTGCTCAATTTAATCTCATTTCAGATAACCACATTCAGATTCCTTGACTTGGGAAGCTGTTCTTAGTGATAGCTAGTTCACACTCTAGAAGGTATCTATAGCATTTAGTGGCAGAAATTAAATGCTAGGAAGTCTGAAACAGGGATGTATTCTTGCAAACACGCAGTGGTCACACAGCAGAGAACTGTAGCCAAACTGAACTCCCCAACACATGCGCACCTCATGTCCCTATGTGTTTACCAAAACATACCATATTCACACAATAGGATGCTCACAGCTGCAACTACCCCTATGTACAGGGCAAACGCACCTGCAATATAAAATGTGAATTTAAGAGGCAGCACCTATGATTCTGCGATCTGCATTGCAGACATAAACTGCTTCAGGAACTCCTGTTAGGATTTCTGCTCAGAGCTTTATCTCTCAGCATACAAGGCTGTTTTAAGGATGAAAGAGATGGCTATAGACGTTTACTGAAGCTTTATCCTCAGTCCATGCATTTAATTGATAGTTGTATTTTTACCATTGCAATTATTAGCAGGGCTGTAAAAATCTGGGCACCCAGTCACTACTGGCACCCCAAAATGAGTCCTGCTGACTGAGCTGCTGAAGAGGGCAGGACATGAGTTGTTCTACCTTCTGTGTGCGCCCCAGTATGTGGGACCTGGTCACTTTTTTCTTTTACTTCCTTAGCTCCTCCCCAAAATCAGCTGCCATTCGCTGGAGGACGGGCCATGGTCCTAGGTAGGCTTTAACCTCTGGAAGAAAGGAAAGGAAGGGGATGGAGACCAGAACGGCATTTGTCCTCTCGCTGGTGACCTCACTTCTGTTCCTCCATTCTCCCTTCCAAAGTCTATTATTATTATTATTATTATTATTATTATTATTATTATTTCACTTCCTAGGTTTGCAGTTGCTGTTGTTTCACTCCAACTCCCATCAGCCCCAGTGAGCCTTGTCAATGGGCAGGGACAACGGGCGTTGAAGTGCAGCAACATCTGGAGGGCCACGAGTTCCCTGTCCCTGTTTCAGAGATTTCGGCCAAATATTTTTAGTCACTCAAGAAACATCCTAACCCTCCTAGCAGTCAGTCAGATCGTGTAATGGGAAACTTTGTATAATAAATGCTTTGTGACCTGGCTTATTTTCCCAAGTTCACCGTGATCCCAATGCTAATGCTCCTCTGAGCTCGTTCTAAGGACATTGTACTGTAAATATTTTGAAGCGCGATGCATTAATTTGATGCTGGCTGTGAGATCTTGAGAGACTAGCAGGACAGGAATGAATGCTCTTGCTGAAGGAGGGCAGGAATGGCAACTGTTTTGCAGACAGAAATCTCACTGGGTGATTTATTAATTCCTCTTTGCTCAGTCAGGCTGTAATCCTTACACTGTGCTTGCCTTTCCCAGTATAGTTGAAGTGGCATGGGATGCTGGTTTACAGCAGCCTCTCCCCGAGGGAAGGAAAAACCTGAGCATTTTGCAAATGTTCCAAGTGACTATTTGCAAAGTCCCTGCTACGTCTTTCCCTTGCCCCAAGCCCTGCTCCTAGAAGGCAGCGTTCCCCAGCCTGCTGGGGGATAGAGTGGGACTAGTATCCCCAGCAACCTGAACAGGAAAAATTATGCACTATGTGCAATTTCTGCTGAGCTGGCCCTTGGGGTCCTCCCGTGAGAATCACGCAGAGCATCATTTTCCCACCTGAGGTACTAGGATTTGTTAGTGCAGTTCAGTGTTCAGCAGGAAAAACGATCATCTGCTACAGTGGAACACTTGAGTTACCACCACAACCTCCTCTGCCTTCCTTCTGGCACATGGCAAACCTCTGGGATGCCTTGGGGAAGGAGGAGGTTGAAGCCACAGTGACTTGCAGGGTTGGGGTGAGCACACCCTGATCCTGTTCACAAGTATGGGATTGCTCATAACATCCCTAGTTTTTGTGTGTGTTGGGGGTGTATGTGTTGAAAATTGCATCCCCAACTTGTAATCTGCATGGTCCATATTACCATTCCAGGATTCTGCCCCTTCATTCCACTGTGTGGGTAGACCAGGCCTATATGGGAATGTAAGCATCTTGCTAGATTAGATCAAAGGCCTTTCTAGTTCAACATCTAGCATAAAATCATGCATGGCGTGCAGATGGGTTTCTTCATCTCTCATAATACTAGAACTCAGGGCCCTCTTCCCATGAAGGTGAATGTTGGAAGATTCAGGACAGACAAAGGAAAGTATTTCACCCATAATTCTCTTTCTACAAGAGACATTGGTGGCCACCAACGTGGACAGCTTTAGAAGACAAAGAGACAAATTCATGGAGGATATGCTGGGTGGAGCTAATGGGACTTGTAGTCCAACGTCTGGAGCGCATAATGTTGACTTTCCCTGCAGCGCACAAATATTATGGAAATTCATGTCCTTTTGTGGGGGGCGGGGAATGTGTGTGGGGTTTTTTTTTTTGGTAATGTGTAAGCAGCCCCCCTACCTGAGGCCCTGTCTTTCTGCGTGCTGATGAAATCAAACACTCAGGAGATTGGCTTGGAACATTTACCTTTGTGCAAAGAAAGACCACGAACCATCTCACTTTACAAATTTCTTTTCAACAAGTGACGTTTTCCAACACAAATGGAGAGGGAGGCATCTGAGAAGAACGAATGCTGTTCCTAGCAAAGTTGAATCAAGTCCAGAAGAAAACAAACATTTCTGCTCCAATATCAGGACTTAGTTTGTGTGTATTTTTAAAAGGATTTAGGATTCGGTCTGCTTCTCATTGAAGGTATTGGAAAAATGCCCAATTGATCTTAATGGAGATGGATTACATCCTTGGACCCCGATCCAACTGCGCACATGCAACCAGTGCCAGCTTGGGGCATTTTTCTGCATGAGGCGGAGCCCAAATGGTGCCGCCCTGCTATGATAATAAAGTGTTGCTGCACCATTCAGACACTTAATTCCTGCCTTCATTCATCTCCCCTTCATAGGTACCCCTGCCCGTACGGGCCAGTCGTGTCCGACTCTAGGGTTGTGCGCCCTTCTCACTTAAGAGGCCGGGGGCCAGCGCTGTCCGGAGACACTTCCGGGTCACGTGGCCAGCGTGATGAA